GACAGGAGAGACCTCCACAGGAGGGGCAGCGACAGGAGAGACCACCACAGGAGGGGCAGCGACAGGAGAGACCACCACAGGAGGGGCAGCGACAGGAGAGACCACCACAGGAGGGGCCGCTTGAGCAAGGGGAGCCGATCCTTAAGAAGCAGCCATACTGTCCACAGAAAAGGTCCTAAGCCAAGTACAACAGTGACTAAAGGAGTGAGCTACAACACCTGTTTTCTACATTAAAGTTTCATTAAACATAACTGGGAAATCAACCAGTTGACGAATCTGAAATGAAGGGGAAAAATTAAGCTGGTTATGAATCATCACTCTGAATACCATAGTAGTAAATAGATACTTTATCCATTTAAAGACTATTTTTACCCAGCGATGCTGGCTGTCAAGCTATATGTTCTGCAATGTTCTGCTTTACACCTACGGTTACTTCATTTAGAGCAGGAAACATCATAAGCCGCAGTGGGAGGACTGGGTATGATAAATAAATAGCAGACATCAGTCTGGGTTCATGCTTCATTACTATAATCGTAAGGAAACTCCAGGGACTTAAACAGCACCAGCAATGTTGGTACAGCCAAACACAAGCTCAGCGTGCCATGAGACCAAGACAGTCCTCTCACCGCAGTGACGCAACCCCCATGATATTCAGCACACAAAACACAAGACGCAAGACTAATCCGCCAAACTCCCTCCTTTACTCTTAATACAAGGCAGCTTCTCCCTACCAGAGGTCAGCACACTCCCCAAACCTCCCTAACTGAAGTGTACCCTCAGGGTTCAGGAGGGCGGCAGGGTGGGATGCGTGGCAACTACTAGACTAAGGTTAAAAGATCACGCAACTTCATCAACAAGAGCAGATGGGTATGATTCACAGGTCTAGTCCAGAAATTAAACCTCTGAAAAGTGCTACATAAAGACCCATCTAGATTAGACAACATGGGGCATGATCTAGAGTTTCTATTGAAGCCATTACTTTGCTGAGAAAATAAGCCAGCAGGACAGCTGTGACATCTAAAATGATAAAAAAAAATAAAGGCATGATCCAGTGATCAAATTAAGGTATTAGCAAGTTCACCATGCGACTGCAATATCATCAGTTAAGCATCACGTTTAATGGCCGTGACAGGAAGCACTGCACCCTCAATTGGGGACAGAATTCATTAATGGTTATTTAGAGTTAAATCACATCACTGCATATGCGCATCACTGCCCACTGCCACCAGTGCAGGCGCCCCGACCGGCAGCAGCCCACCTTCAGCTGCTTCTCCTTCTTCTTGCGCACGTCCTCCCACTCGTTGACGATGCGCCCCCACAGGATCCAGGAGTCCTCCTCCAGGTGGGAGAGGTTGGAGGAGGCCGAGGAGCTGGACACCAGCGAGGAGCCGCTGTTGCGCCGGGAGCCATTTACAGACTTCAGGGACTTGCTGTCTATCTCCAATAGCCTGGGGGGAGGGGGGGGGAATGTAAGGCAGCTGATAGCAACAGACATTTCCATTGTCATCGACGTCACCTTCATCAAGCAGGAGCTACAGTCTTTACACGTTTAGCTGGCCAATGACCTTCGGTGCTGAGCTACGTGATCCTGAGCGCCAACAGAATATGCAGCCCTTCCCCATCTAATCACTGCCAACATAGCAGCTTAATGCCAGAACATCCATACAAAACACAAACGCACACGCCTCTCTGCTGATGTCAAGGGGTCGACCTCCTGCTCACATTTCAGTCAAAGCCTAAGACTCCGGCCTGAATAATGGGGTTACCACACAGTCGGAAGCTAATCTAAATGTAATCAATGATAAATTAGCCCATTCTCACACGACTGCATCGGCCGTTACCGGGCATCGAATGTCAACGTTAAATATTCATTGATGGAAAGACGGCACATCACAGTTACTGACTAAAGTCCGGCCCCTTCGAGACTTTTCGAAGTGGCCAGGAAGTCTCCCTGTTCCTGTTCCCAGGGCCCTGTTGTGGGGGTATCTAAGGGGGGGGGAACCTCTGTTTCGGCAAACAAGCTGATGCAATGCTGCAAGATTGATGACCCTTAGTGCCAAAGGACTCTTTGGACAGTGCAAAGAGGCCTGTTTGAACAAACTTATTCTGCGTCTAGCGAAATCAAGGGAACTGACCAAACACGGTGCTCTTTAAAGACAGTGCTACTCAGAGACTACAACAGGAAAAGAGAAATATGAACCAGTTCAGATATAAAGTGCTAGGTGCATGAACCTCAAAAACAAACAAAAAAAAATTAGCAACATTTTCAGACAGGTTCTTGAGTAAACATTCATCTTTTATTAGCAACCAGCCATGCCAAGCAATCAAACAGGTGTTACTCCCAACTTCAAAGCAGATTGGCAGCTACTGTAGACATTCAGCATTAGATACTTCTTAAAGGGGTACAAGTACAATATCCCCCTCTAAATCATTTGACTTGGTGCATTCTGGTCTGAACTCGGGCTCTTTCAGGACTGAAATCTAGCAAATCGAGTTTCTAATCAATCCCAGGACACCCTTTGTGTACCAGCCCAACAAGATCTCCTTCAGGGTGAGACATCTCACACCGATTCTCCAACCCTGGCAGGCACTGAGAGAAATGTGCCAAGTCATCGTCGAAATACTCTACAGAAAATCGGCAGGCTGAATTGGTTGAATGTGCATGACAATTAGCTCGGCCAAGCAGATAAGTTCCCGGGCAGACAGCAAACCCTGGCTTTAGAACCATGGCTTTAGCACGAAGGCACAACCAATTGTATTCACTGAAGAGCTCTCTATACAGCAGCTGCCAGGATCACTGCCGCCTCCCATCCCCACCAAAGCCTGACGGCTCCTCTAGTCAAACCATCAACATCAACTGCAGGTCTAACTGTGAGTCTGCCACAGCAGGGCCTGATCAGGAGACGAGCTCCCCAGTCTGACAGCTGGAAAACAAGCAGACAGCATATTGCACACGCTGCATTGCGTAAATCACAGTGGCAGAAAACCACAAAGGTGTGATGTTACTGAGGCTGAGAACAACACAGACCTGAAGATGCAAACCCTTGTTTAGCGTCGTCAGTGGGAAAGTAGGTCAAAAGCCCGCTGAGGCTGTAATACGGTTTGCTTCACGGGCAAAACAAACAGAAAGCAGGTGATACAAGCAGCTCAGGGGCCCGGGTCCCGCAAGATGGACAGGGAAAGGAACTTCATCCAGTACCGGGTGGTACAAAACATGCCAGGGGCTGTTCTGAGTGTACAGCAGTGAGCCCCGCTAGCTCTGTCATGAAGCTCGGGTAGGAGCAGGTGAGGAGACAGCTCGACAACGACATCTGAGGTCGCTGCTATGAACAACGGCTAATAAAACCGCAGGCAGCAACATTGACATACACTGCTTAAAAAGACGCCCGGAGAGTTCCTGCACCAACATGTCCTGAATGCAGGTTCCCAAAATAAGCCTGAGTTTCAAAGTGGCAATTTAAGCGTGCCGTATTTGGTGTAATTCAAGACTGGTGTTTGTTTATTTTTTATGGGCCCCATTTCACAGTGGACATCAAACCACAGAAAGAAAATCGTTTTTTAGTTTTATTTTTCCCGTCGTGAAAGCGTATCTGCCTGTAATAACCTCCCCTACTTCACAAAGTTCAGCAGCCGATAAAACAAACATGAACAAACAGGACTTCAGACCTGGCCGGTTACACTTGCGAAACTCCGGACCTACCGAAGCTTCGACCACCTCCAATAACTCTCAGACATCACTGATTAATATTTCATAAAGCCTCACTTACAGTTACGTTCTTCTGGCACTTACCTCTGCATTAATACAAACAAAATGTATTTGTCTGTACGACGCGACGACCATAAGAAAAATACCTGATTTTGTGCCACAATCATTTTCTGAGAAACATTAACCAGCAGATAAACAAGAGAGCCACGTCCTGCCCGGAAGAAAATACATATCAGCCTGCAAAACCCACAATTAATTCTATATGTCTGGGTATTAAAAATGTGTTCTGGCTGGCTGATCGTAGAGAAGAAAAATAAGCACTCAGCACTAATCCCAAGGACTGAGGGCCCTGAAGAGAGGACAGGTCTGTTGAGGGTTTTGCTGTCTCACTCCGACCGACTGTGGTGAGGAGTCCGGGGCAGAGCGGAGTGCAGAAGGCGGCTCTTACCATGAGAGGCTCATGCCGCCCACCAGAAGCAGAGAGAGGGATGGGACCGGAGACCAGGTAGGAAGCTGCCTGTAGTTCCTTTATGTGATACGGGCTGAACTGAAGCTCAAAAGGGCAGGGTGAAACTCCGAAAGTGACTCTCACACTCACAGCATGCAAATGTTTACGCCACCGCCTACACGCACAGGGCACAAACTGGCCACAGAAAGTGCACGCGAGGAAAGTGCACCAGGGAAGAACAAAGAAATTAATCTGTCACCATATGCGATCGCCTCGATGCTTGTTCCTGTCCGACCCACACTTAACGCTAACTTACGACCTTATATTTTTAAGTGCTGTAGTTAGAGAGCCCAGGAGAATAGTGAGCAGAGTGAATTAATGAGCAAAACTTGAGGTAATTTAATTTCTCAGTTGGGAGGCGGTACTCGTGTGCCCACTGGTGGTCTGCCAAGCTGGCGGAAACACTGCCCAGGTCCGAGGATCGATCCGTCGTCTCCCAGGACAAGTCAGTAGGGAGACGGCGTGAAATCAAGGGAACAACCGCAAGGGAGACTGACAGCAAAAAGAACCAGCTGTTCCTACTGAACCAGCACTGGAGAAATGTGGTGTTTCAGTCAAAACACAGGGAGACCTGAACCACCCACAAAGGCGTCCAGACTACTGTTGTAAGGTTTTTATAAAGAAGCAGCAAATCAGGCACCCAGCCAAAAGGTAGGGAAGCAGGGTCCGTTTGGGACTGAGTAACCTGCAGTCTATCAGCCTACATCTCCTAACATCCTAGCACAAGATCTAAAGAATGTAAATCAGTTACCAAATAAAACGAAGCAAGACTTCAGCACCTAAGGCCTAACATCCCATACCAAGCAAAAACACAATTTCTCTCTTCTGCACATTCTATTCCGTCTGATGCTTCCTCGGTCCACCTGTGTCAGCCGTAACCCGATTAGGACTTAAACTTGTCATTCAAAGAAACATTTCAACAAGTAAACCAATGTGTGATGCTGTCCAATGCTCACGAGTAACCAATATACGATAGCATATGAGAATTAAAAAAAAAAGAATAAATCAGACATTAAATCACAGCAACAAAACAAACCCAACCAGAATACTGCATATATAATATAATATAATATATATATATAATAATATAAGCTATGACAGAATGTAAAAATAAGGAATATATTTAAACACAGCAAGCAGAGTGATGTGCAGCTTAGAACCAATGAGGATAAATCAGGCACCCCCCCTTACAGAGTTTAGGTTGCCTAGCAGCAAAAAACATAATTAGCATGATGGATCACGCAGCAAAATAATCATTCACTCTGTGAGACACAAAAATGTACATTTTCATGCAGGGAAAAAGCCCTGGATGGTTTTTTCTTCTTTGTCTTTTAATGCTCTTTCAAAAACAATTCTCCACCAGCACAGGAATTGAATTTCATATAAGACTGGAAGCTTACAGGACGCAGCAGCGTGGGCAGAGAATTTTGGGCCAGATGAGACAGGGTTGTGAATCTGTCAGAGGGGACACAGAGGTGGCATGTGCCCAGTCAAAGGGCACAGCTGTCCCTTTCAAAGAACAAAGGTCAAAGATCCCCGGGTCAACCCACAAGTAAGCCGATTCTCTACTGCCTGTGTTCTGTTCCTTGCTTAGGAGGCCGGTGGGGGGCAGGAGGGGGTCAAACAGGCAAGAGGGGTATGGGGGCAGGCGGTCCATTGATCCTGATTGCCTTAGCGGACAAATCCTTGGTGTGTGCTCTGCAACAATGGCCCCACCAGAGCAGAATCAATAAGGCAGCAGGCCATCAGCCTCTCAAACCCGCTCACAGCTGGCTGAGCACGATGTGTCCCGGACTGAGGGAGCAAGACCATTCAACACAGCCCACGTCTAATGCCGGCGAATCAAACACAAATAGGCTGGAGCCATGCAAAGGCAGAATGGGTCAGTAAATACACCAATGAATCCTTTTCATACAATTAAAACTAGCTGTGCTCATTTATACACAAACAATGCTGTCCCCTGCCCCATCATACAGGGGGGGGGGGGCAGGTGTGGGAAGCGCAGTGACAGAATCCTGGAGACAGACTCTCATCTCCAGGGACAGAGAACAAAATCTACCCCCCCCCACCCCCACCAGCTCAAAAAGCAGCAGAGCTCTCAAGCACACAACCGTCTTGCCAGCTGCAGGTCCTGAAGACCCATCTCTCACATCACTGCTCATTAGGACCATCTCCATCCTGCCCAGCACATTAAGCCTCATCGGAGACTCTGATTTCCAGAAGCGTCTCCCAGGTCTGGCCTACCTGTTCTGTTCCTCCAGCTTGGCCAGCAGCTCCACCTCATCTGGGCTGAGCTGGGAGGGTGAGGACGGAGATGGGGTCGGGGTCGGCGTCGATAGGGTGGTGGGTGGAGTGTGCAGGGAGGAGGCGCCGGTGGCTGCAGGGGGATGCAGTGAGGAGGGGGGGGCCACCTGGCTAGCCATCTGACTGACGGTCTGGGACACAGAGTTCTTCACCCATGAGAGAGTAGAACTCAGCTTGCCTGCAACCTTGTCTGTCGCCACCTGTAGGGAGAGGAGAGGAAAGACACCATCAGGTCTGGGAAGAAGTGGGCGGGGTTAGCTCCCAAACGCTACAGCACAAACTCAAACCATTTCCTTTATGACATTTTATTGCAACACTAAACCCCAAAGCCAATAAAAGCAGTTTGACAGTACCAAACCTGCAGCTTCCAGCATATTCTAACCTGTTTTTGTTTTTGTGTAGATTAACCGGCAATTCTGAATCCATAAGGTTAACTGGTGATTATTAACCAGCCTGATGTCGCCTGAAAATCCAGTGTGGCTTCCACGTCACTGCACACCTGAAGCAGACCTCAGAATATGTTCCACTGTCTAAAACCGTTACAATCCCATGGGGCCTACTGCACCTCAGACCGCAGTGGGACCACAAACGAGAATCTGAATCACTCCTGTCATTTTTTGGCAACCTCAGAACATTAGCAGACAACCAAGGAAGCAAGGATGGCACCGGACACCAAGAAAGGGATCCAGGGGTAAAGCAAGGACGCGTCATTTCTCGTCTAAGCCAGAAGTCACATGGGTGGCACCAAGCAGGTCATGGGTCAGCAAAGCACTCGTTCACCCACCCCCCAACAGCAGAGCAGTGCAGCTGCCTGCTCTTCCTGAAGCCTCACAGACAGTCATGTGGCCAGCAGAGCAGAAGGTGCCTTGTTTGACGCTACTGATCTGAGTGACAAGCAGGCTGGTGCAAGTGGCCCATCTGCCCCAGCAAAAAAAAGTAAAAAAAGTAAAAGGCATAGACCAACATGACTACAGGGGCAGCCCTGGAAACACAGCAAAGAACACACTTGGACTACAGGTATCTGAGCTGGAATTAGGGCAGGAGGGAAAACGTAAACTTTGCACACGCTTATACACACAGGCTAGGCAGACCTACTTATTTCTACTGCGTTTCTGTCCCAGGAAGTAGACTAATCTTTGCTGTGCAGCCATGCTGCAGTCTGAGCCACCCATCTTTCTCCAGCAGCGTGGTTTATAACTGCACAGCTACCAAAGTTTACAAAAAATAACACGACAGTGTCTGAGACTCATTCATACCACTGCTTGTACCTCCAGCTCCGAGGACACACACAAAGCAAATGGCAGGACAGAGATTACGGTAGGACGCTCACTCAAAAACAGTTACCAATGCACTGGGAATGGACCCTCACGGCCCCATCACAGGGACCATATTCACAGCACTGACCTCGAGCGCATCAACACATCTGTGCTACCAACACAACCTCCGTAATCGAGAGGGCGGCGGGCGTGCAGAGCTGGAGCGGAGCGTTTTCTGCCACTCCGCACCCCACGTGTTTATTCAGCGATGGGGAGGAAAGCAGTCTAGATAAATACCAGTCACCTTACCTGACCCATGATATCACATAGGCAGGCCAGCACCAAGAAACCACTACCAAACACAGAAGCGCAGACAAGGACATGGCATGAGCCTGGTAACATTCAAACAACCGAGCAAGGTGCAGCCGTAAGCAATAAGGATGCATCGTCTTTGGGGTTACAACAGCACTGAGCTTCCAAAACAAGTCACACAGATGTCGCCCCCCCCTTACCAGTGCGTAGGGCTCGTGCCATGCCTCGCAGGGTGCCACAGGAGCACGCCACGCTTACCAGACCGAGCGGAGATGCCGTGTCTCTGAATTTACGCTCATGTCTGCCCAGACGCTTGCTCTTGGTTCCTCAAGTAGATGCAGGAGCGATGGAGGGGTCAAAAGGCCGGTTTAACAGCAGTCAGCACAGCCCAGTGACAAAGTCTGCTCCATGGCCCCCCCCACCGAAACAGTCTGGTCTGGAATTCACCTGCCGACCAGCCGGGGAGGTGCACAGGAAGTCCCATCGCATGGGGGCCTGTTGCAGCGAAACCGAGAGCTGGGCGGAGCCGTGCAGCTGTGTCAGCCGCAGAGGGAAGCCAGGGTGAGGACAGATCTAAAGCGCAAAGACAGCCTCAGTAGGGTGGTGTTTTCCTCTTTGCTTTTCAACATGGATGAATTTAAGCTAATTGTTCAAAGGTGGGGGTGCTATAACTGAGCTAAAAGTAAGCCTCTCGCTTTCTCCGATGATTTTCCCAAAATCCAGACCAGCCTCTGACGTTTACTGAGATCACGTGTGCCTTTCTGCTAAAGGAGGGCATTTGTTTTACTCTGGTCACTCACTACTTCCTCATTCCACTGGAAAAAGACCACCCACCCATCTGTGCTTTTCGTTCCTGTTTGATTTCCCCACAGAACCTGCTGACTGTTTCCGAATACTGAGAGAACAGGGGCAGATACGCAAGCGTTCCCGGGCTTATGGATCTCTAACATGGGTCAACAGACAGCTTTTCTAACAAAGGGTCCCACTGGCAACACCTCTTCAAGCCGAGAGATTTTCTGTGTCACGGTCCTTCTTTTTAAAGAAGCACAACACCATAAATAATCAAAGTGCACAAACCTGCTTACAACTGAAAGGTGTGAAAGAGTGAGCTCACAAACTGTCGCACAAAACCCCAGGGTCCAAACAGTCCATAACGGCCGAGTATTATTTTCCAGGCTGAAAATAACAGCAGACTGAGACCCCCGGAGGTGGGTGTCTAAGCTGATAACTTACTGGCCTGAGAATTCAGTCGGCAAGCTGACTGGCTGACAGGACCGGGCTGTAAATAACCCATGGCTCTTAACCCCATGGAGAGAAGCGCTCACGTTCTGTGCACTTTCCAGATTGGCACTGTAACATTGGTGCTTTCTAATGGCCGGTCCCTGTCTAGCAGGAAGGAGGGAACACGTGCCCAATTCTGCCATTCCTTACCCGCTGAGGGACTCCACAAACTAACATCACGCTAAGAGAGAAAGCAAACACAGATACAGTGTAGACGCTGTCGAATACAGTGTAGACGCTGTCATATACAGTGTAGACACGGTATGGCTATCTTCCCCACTCTGGTTACAGCTCATTTGTTACATGCTGTTTTCTGCCGCTTCGCACAAGGGCACTGCTCAGATGACAGACTCGGGGTGACGTAATGTGAGAGCATGGCAAAGAGGTCCCCCTCAGCTGGTGGCCCTGTGGCTGGGCTCACCGCCAAATCCAGCCCCCTGACTCCAGGGCCTGGGGCCCCTGTGAAACCAGGACCTCTTCCAGAGCAGCTGCAGCTTTTACGAGCGCTGACAGAGGCCCTGTTCCAGGGAGTGCCTCTATCCCCCACCCCCTCCTTTTTCCAGAAGAGAAAGAAGGTTGTTTGGTTTTTATTTTTTATGACGCGGCAGCCCAGACATCCTAAATCACAGGCCGAGCTGCAGTAAGACTGCAGGGGGGGGGGGTGCATCACGACTGACCAAGCCTAAACCATCCGTGTTTACAAACCCAGAAAAAAGGGATGTGAACTATCAAACGCCCAACAAAGACACACCGGGATCTTTACACACTTGCCTGGGGCATCCACCACCAATGCCCACCTGTTTTACATTCGTCCTCCGTTCTACAGAAGGTGCTGATTTAAATTCGCTGCATTACAGAGAGCTGTGTTAAACTGTTAAATAACAGCAGTGAACTAGCGCTGGTATATATTAGCATTCCTGAAAGAGGAATTACACAATTTTCTTTGTGTATGCGTGAGCTAAAGTATCCCCTAATTAAAATAAAAAATCTGCCCATTTGTACTTTCAGTTGCTCCCCCACATAAATCTAGACCTCAAAGGCAGGAGAGCAGCCGGTTCCAGCTGGTTTTCAGAGGAGGAACCTCTGATAGGCCCTGGGACCACAGCAGGCGGTTCTGAGTACTTAGGAAAGTTACAAAATCTGTGCGAGATGATCAGACAATTTTAGGCAGAAAGGTTATGTTCCACCGAGATCCAAAATAAACTTTTAATGGGTGTTATTTTGTGTACATATTAACTTTATACCCCTCCTGCTCCAATTCATATTTAAGATGAGAATAGATGGTTTTAAGTCACGCCCATGCTTAAAGACAGCACAAGGAGGGCAGGAGCTACAAATGATGGAGGGATAAAAACAACCCACTGCACTGGACTTTCACAACGGACTCAGAGGGGATTCACAACTGAAAATATCAACATATTCAATACTGTGCAGAGCAGGGAAACCCTGGGAATTTTACTTTTTTTCCCCTTGATGACCTTAAGCACAATACTGTACATACATGGGGGTTTTTTTAATGATCAACAGGCTTCCACGTCCACAAAAAAGACACAGGATATAATGTCAGAGCAGGTTACCGGAGCAGCGCTCTGTTCCAGGATAAGTGAAGAACACGGTGGCACTATGGGCACGACGCTCATGTGACAGAGGTATTCCTGCAGACATAAAGCTCTTCAGAAATAAGACGTCATCCTGCAGAGCTGGCCTGGCTTCCAGGCTCCAGGGCACGTTCCAGTGTGACTTTCAAAGAGGTGAACAGACCCTTGAGAGAATGGCTTTCTTCACGGAAAATCGCCCTCTACAGGTGAAAATGGGACCAGGTAAATCAAGGCGAACCTCAGCAGGTAATTTGAAAATCTGGCTATAAATGTAGAGAGACGTTTCTGCAGAGGGGAATACACCTAAACAGCACACCATGGATTCCTCTGAATAACCCATTTAAGGGAAGTGGAAAATGCAAACTCTTTAATTCTCCCCTCATTCATCCTGCTGACTGGCTTTGTTTTGTTTTGTTTGTCATTAGTCAGGAGAAAAAGATGGGGAAAGCCGACCAGGCTCTGCTCCCCAGACCAGCCAGACACTGGGATATCCTGCCTCCTGCAAAAAAAAAAAAAAAAACCAGGAACTGGGTCCAATGTATGCCCCTCCCCCAGCTTAAAACTCTAGCCTCAAATTCCAACTAAGGAGGAAGTGGTTTTAATTTTTAGCATACCTGCCCTTTCATACCCTGGAGGAGACAACACTCCCCCCCCCCTCTCAAACTACTTCCTCTCTGCCAGATGGCAGGCTGTGTCTGGAACGCCTTCGGCAGAGCTGAGACGAAGCCCGGGGCGCCTTTCGACAGCGACGGGCACTGCTGAGCCCGGGGCGCCTTTCGACAGCGACGGGCACTGCTAACCCAGCTGGCAGAGGTATAGTGAGGGAAGCTGGCAGCTCTCAGGCTTGTCAAGAGAAACCTGGGCTCCATTCTGCCAGTTTCCTTTCCAACCTAAAAATGGTAGCGAAATCCTTGTAAAAAGTAGAGATTTTTTTATATAGTAATCCTTTTTGTGTTCCACAAGCCAGTGCGTCAATGACCGTTCCACAAATATGTAGCGCAGCAGAGATTATTCACTCCTTGTCCCGGCACTGTTTTAAAAGCAGCTGGTAAACAGCAGGGTGGTTTTTTTCCTACTCAGAATTTTTGAAAGTGTTCCATGTACTGATGGTGCCCAAATTATTCTCCTGCTGTGTGGAAAAATTAATTACAAATGAATCTTTAGATGATCGAAACTGAAGAGTCTTCACAATTCATCCTTTGATAAGCCCATGGAGCTTACTTAGACTAGAAATAATTCACCACTTGAAAAAGCCTGTACATACATTTTGGGCATAAATACACCTAAATACTGGCCGCTGTTAACATCTATGAAGCAATGTTGAATCAAGTGATATTCATCTCTGCTCCAAAATTTGAGCTGCTGGGAAGAACGAGATGATCAAACCCAAAACAGCAGAGATGAAAATGAAAAACAAAAACAGCAATATGCAGAGTAACAGCCAGAGTCACCGAGCCTGTGCCCCGCCAACCATCTGCAGTGCAGAGACCACAGGACAGACATGCACACATCAATTAAGAATTAAAAGCAAAGAGTAACTGACAGCACACATATGCTGCAGGAGTGAGTTCATCCACACTCCTGAGCTTGAACTTCTGGCTATTATCCAACTGCTGGGGGGGGGGGGCAGGACCAAAAGTCTGAGGCACAACCTGGAACAAACCCCATTTCTATAGACTCCCTTAGGTTTAATATCAACTTATCACATTTATTTTTATTTTACAGTTATTTTACTGGAGATGGTTAAATTCAAGGGGACTACTGTTCATAAATGGCCTTTTTTCTTACAGATCTTGTTATTTTGTACAGAAAAATAACTGAGTTGTCATTTCTGAAATAGGAATAAAAAGAGTCATCAGCCCAAAGCCTTCCAGGCAACAGCAGAGGCCAAGCAGATCAGTAGGACAAACCACCCCACCCTATACGGCAGGGGTGTCAAACTGCAGTCCTGGGGGGCCGGAGCCCTGTGTAGCTTAGTTCTTTCCCTGTTCCACCACAAATGATTCAGCTCAACAGATATGTGGTAATTAGCACAAGAAGTTGAATCAGGTGTGTTAAACGAGGGGAAACCCAAAAATGTGCAGGGCTCCGGCCCCCCAGGACTGGAGTCTGACACCTGTGCTATACGGCGACTGACAATCTCAGGTGCATGATCTGAGTTCACACCACTGGATGCGAAAACAAAATGCCACCATCTTTTCTTTGCCTCAAAGTCAGGAAGGTCAAACCAGACCTTCTCAGGCGGGAAAAGGCAGCGCACTGACATTAGCAGGAAGCAGAACCTTAATAAAATGTATAAAATAGTCAGCTGGCTGGAACTGATTCCATCGGTTCTGATGAAAAGATTAGAGGAATGATGAGAATGTCTCCGGATGGAATAGGCGCTGCCCAACTAGAGTAGGAGAGGCTTCCCAAACATCACCGCTCCATGTTTTCATAATTAGCACGCAGCAGCAAACAGAGCAGTACCTGCACCAAGCTCAGCATGAAGGGAGAACCCAAGCCAAACACTTATGTAGGCTCCTACAGGGAGTCCATGACAGCGTTAATTCCAAAATTTGACACGAGCAGAGGAATCAGACAAGATTTCCGGCTGCTTGGGAAATGGGGAATTCAGACTGGCAACATTCCAACTCCACACAAAGCGAGGGGGCGTTTGTCATGAATGCTGCTGGCACATGGCAAGTTCTGATTGGCTGACACCTCTAAAGTAGAGAAGCCTAATCCTTGGCCCTAGGAAACAGCACATACGACAGGTTGTGGAAATACAAAATCTAATCAGGAAGAATAGCGGGCCAGAACTTCCTCAGTATCAGGGATGAGCTTTTTTGACTCGAGGCTCAAGAGGCCCATGCCCCCCTTTAATCTTTGTACCCCTCAAACAGAAACAGCCAATAGGAATCTCTGACAAAGACACAGTCACACCAAGGAGGACTTACATAGGCATGATGTGACATAAAGCCTGGAGAAAGACCTCACACAGCACATGGAAGGACCAGAACTCAGAAAATAAAGGTCAGCTTTCTTTGTTAAGTAGGAAGATAAAAGGAACTTTGTAATTTTGCTTTAGCCGATGGAACCAACACCCAGCTTAGACTACATAAAAACACCAATAAAACGGTAGACTGTTGTTCTGCGGACGAAAAATTTAAATGTAGGGAGAGGTCGTGTAAAACAAAAAAAAAATGATGCAGACACAAACACCACTGA